CTGCTCACAACAGATCTCCGATCACGTTTTGGGATGAGACGTCTCCCGCCACCATCAGGTCGTCTGGTACTCCACTGACTACGTCTTCTCGGGCGGCTCGTCCTTGCCCGGCAGCGGCGGCAGCAAGGCCAACGGCGTCGCGGCGGCGGACGCGGGCGGCCCGTACGGCGAGGAGGACCCACCGTCGCCGCTCAACGTCTACGGGTCCTCAAAGCCAGATGCGAAATGCTCTTATTGCTAGCAAGCGCTCGAGGCGGCATGTATTCGGCTGTACTACCCAACCGTACTCAAGCCGTGTCCGCTGCACTCGGAGCTCGTGTGTTCTTGCGAGACACAGGGGTGCAGCGCACGCGATGACTCGTACTGTAGGTCCTCGAAGCTCGCCGGCGAAGCGGCGGTGCTCGCCGCTGACCCCTCCGCCCTCGTTCTGCGCACCAACGTCGTGTACGGGCGCCGCGAGGACAATCCTCGGCGCGGCGTGCCTCGAAGCATTCATGCTAACCTTCCCGGAGTTTTCGCATAGGCCGGAGCACGTCGGCAAGAATTTCGTGTACCAGCTGGCGCGCAAGCTGGGCAGCGGCGAGGCGATGAACGTGCCTGTCGACCAGGCGAGAGGAGCTGAGATAGGGTCGAGATTTCGAAATATCGACCCTCTCTCGCCTCAGTTTCTCTCGCCCTCTCTCGCCCTCACTCGCCCTTTCTCTCCTCTCCTGAATCCCCCTGACCCCTCCCCGCACAGATCGGGACGCCCACGTACAACCGTGATTTGGCTGATGCGACGAAGCGCCTCGTCGAGGCGGGTGCGAGCGGCTTGTTCAACGTGGGCGGCCCCGAGCCGCTCGGCCGCGTCGCATTCGCCGAGAAGGTGTGTCTTGCGACGCTCTCACGTCGTGTCGAACTTTCGGTCCCATCTCTCTGGCACATCTCGGACAATCTTACTGCGCAGGTGATCACGGCGCTCGGGGGGCGCCGCCCGCTCGACGCCGGGCTCATCAAGCCCGTGGAGACGGTCAACGCCGGCCAGGTGCCGACAACCGAGACAGCTCCCTCGCTGCCACGCCCCACTGCCACGCCTCACTGCCACGCCTCACTGCCATGGCCGCGCCACGGCCGCACCATGGCACAGCCATCGCAGTCTCGGCGCATCTCGGCGACTCAGGCGGCGTGCCGGCCCCTCGCATCGGGCCTCAAGCTCGACAAGCTGCGCGCGGCTATCCCCGACTGGGCACCACGCTCCGTCGCCGAGGCGCGACCGATTGCATCCGCTCTGCCGCCGCCTTGCCTGCGACTGCCAGCGCCCTTGCTTGCGCTCTGCCGCACGCGCCTTGCCGCCAGCGCCCTTGCTTGCGCCTTGCCTGCCGAGGGTGGTTGCTGCACGCCCCTCGTTCCCACGCCCGTTCACCCCCCCCCCCCCCCCAACGGACGGCAGGCAATCGACGATTGGCTGGCCAACCCGCACGGCAAGTCCCTCGGGGAATGAATGGATTTCCCGGAAGTGTGCCGTGGTTGCCGCCGTCCCGATCTGCCCCGACGCGAACCGCTGCATGCGGAGGGTCGCGTGCAATCTTATTCTTAACGACGGATGTGGTCCACTTCGTGCTCCCCTTGGCATAGTTGTGTGCGCGTGAGGCGCCGTCGTTCTAGTAGGTGGAGGTTGGAAACTTGCCAATTCTGATGTTTTTGTCCGTATTTTGCGCGCTCTCCTGCGCTCTCACAAGCGCGAACGAAGGTCAAAAAAAACTGTTCAGTTTTCACGAAGGTCGAACTCGAAGCCTGAAGAGAATTTACAAGAAAGCTCCCTCGCACGACAGAAAGATGTGGGTTGTTGCACGAGTATATGTATATGGGCCACGATGTCTCAAATATGAGGGGTTTTGACTCCTACCGGCTCCTGACGCTATCCCTGGCAGCTCTAATGGCCAGGGTCAGTAGTGTTGTGATAGATGGTGCCCATACTAGCGCAGGAGCTGCCACACTCGCCCGGACCGTCCCCTTCTGGGGCCGGTTCCGCAGCCCGCGAGAGCCGACAGCGGGGCCGTGCCGCAGGTGCCTACTGCCGAGTGCCACAAACACTGCGCCGTCCCGCCATCACCTACAGGCTGTCTTGTGGGATGGTTGGGATGTCCAAACGCCACCATCTTGGCTCTTGCGACCTCAAACCCTCGAGCTGTATGGGTGGTCCTGACGTCGACAGACGCCCGAGGACCATGGTGAAGCTGAGACGGAACGCGTCGACAGGTCTCGCCTGAGCCCGTGGCGGTCGCCGGCTGAGTCGCCGTGCACGAGCCGGTACCTCAGGCGTCACCTCCGCAGCCTCAGGTCTCACACTCCATCACCTCCGCCGGGACGCCTTCGGTGTCACGCTCGGCGGCGAGTTTGTTGCAGCCCCACAGCGAGCACGGCGTCGAGCCTACTCGGTCTGGTCGGTTCGCGGCACTCACTGGGTGCCAGGGAGTGCCGCCGACACGCGAGCGGTGCTTCCTGGCAGCGCGCGCCGGCTGCGGGGCTGCAACAAACTCGAGACACGCATTTTGGGACATTTTCGACGCTTTTGGCTTTTATACTCGTGCAACAACCCATGTGAAAGGCGGGAGGTCATCGAGGCGCCGGGCACCTTCCTTCTTCCATGTCGCCGCAGATCCTGCCCGCGGCTCGTCGAGCGAGACTTTCCTAAGACTTTCGTCCCAGAACCCGAACTTCCAACACGTCGCGCTCATGTTCGCCAACATCCTTGGCGAGAGGAGCTCTGGCACAGACCTGATTTCATCGGGCGACTGGAGTCCATCGGCTCGGACTGGGGCCGAATGTGCGCCCTTCACGGCTGCCCGGAGCGCCTCAACACGTATGGCAAGTTAAATGAGCACATGGGCCAACACCCAGAGACGTCGAGCGACCATACGGACACGGCGCAGGCTTGATAGTCTTGTTTGAGGAGGAGCCTCGCCTGAAAAATGCCGTCCGCAAGCTGCTTCGCCTGGATGAGGACTGCTTGCGTGAGCACACCGCGCCCGCAAGCGGCACGGGAACGCGGCGGCTGCGTGACGCGGGCGACTTCATCGAGCTGGACTCGTGGCTCGAGCGGTGACAACGAGGCACACGCAAGCGTGACACAACCATGTACTATCCCTCTCTCCAGGTTGCTAGCCTCTGCTGCGAGGAGACCCTCGCGCTTCGAGTTTCGCGCCTTTCGTGTGTGCTTGTGTGTGTTTGTGCCGGCGGGGGGCTTGGTGTCGAGGAGTGTCGCGTGCAGCCAACCAAACAAAAAATAACGCGCGTGCTCAGCGGAGCTGGGAATAGGACCGCCGCAAGCGGCGTGGCGTGGAGCGGTTGAGCATCCCTCCGGGGGCCCCTCTGCCGACTACAGACACAACACGTACACGTGGCCGCGCCCTACTCCGTTAGTTTTTCCTCATATTTTTCGTCTCTTTTTTTCTAGGAAGCCGCCGGATATAAGTGGGGCGGGTTTGCAAGATAGTGCGGGGTCCCCACTCCGTCGCGACACTTCGCGGCGCCTGCCCTTTGGCCGGTGAAATCCTCTTCGCATTCGGCGATGGTGGCTGCGACCGCGGACACCGAGGCGGAGTTTGCGGCTCCAGGATGGCCTCGGCAGTCGCAGAGCCCACCACCGAGTCCCGCCCGCCTTCGCGGAAACTCCCTCGCGCCTGCGACGAAGCCGTATCTTCCTGGTCGTCACCTGTTGCTTGGACGAGGGGCGCCTCCTCCTCCGCCGCCGCCCAAGGCGTGTCGCGGAGCACCCCTTCGCCCGCCGCGCCTATCGGGGGCAGGGCTGGGCCGTGCCAAAAATGTTGCACAGCGCCTGCGTCGTGAGTCCAACTAGCGACAGGGCCGTGGAACGAGAATGACGCAAGCCGTGCCGAGGCCGCAAGTCAATACACGGGCGCGAATGCTAGACACGGGCCTCCGCCGAGCGAGAGCCGCGCTGGCCGGCGGTCCGTGGAGTTGCTCCTCATGCGCCACGCGGCGGGCACCAGCCGGACCGGGTCGATGCCGTGGTGAACGCACAGACAACACAGGACCTGCCGGTCCGGGTCGGGCGGGAGGCGCGCGCCCGCACCTCGAAGTGCGAGAGTGAGCTGCTCGAGGCTGAGGTGGCGATAGGCGGCGGCGGCGACGTGGCGATCGAGCGCGCCAGGCAGACTCTCGGTATCCCGAGCGAGCGCGCCGTGCAGTGCGGGCGCCAGCCGCGTGTGCAGCTCCGCCGCATCGCGTCGGGCCTCGGAGAGGTCCACCTTGAGTTGTGTGAAAAGTGCAAGCTGCTGCGCCGCCGGCAAAGCGTCGCCTGCATTGATCAGCTTGTTGCTGCTTGCGCCTTCTTGATCGAGAGCGCGCGCGGTGGCGGCCCCGGCTGTTGTCGGGGTAGCGTCTGGCCGCACTGACAACGCGGGCACCTCCGGCGCCCCGCCACCTCCTCTCTTACTCGCTGCAAGAGCCGCCTCAGCTGCCTCGGCGCGCCTTTGCCATGAGCGGCTGACCTCGTGCTCCTCGTCGAGCTGCGAGGCGGCGAGGAGGAGCCACCGCTGCACGTCCATCGTCGTTGTCGCCTCCATCAGCACCGCCCACTGCGCCACCCTGTTGCGCAGCCTCGCCTCCGACCAACGCACAGCCACCTCCCGGGCTTCGAGCCCCGCGGCATGGCGAGAAAGCGCCGCCGCCTGTGCCGCGGCCAGTCGGTCCGGCGCGGTGTCGCGAGGACTCGCCATGTATCCATGCACATGGACATGGGTGGCCGGTGGCCGGGGGGGTTGAGACAGGACGTTTGGGGCGTAACGGCTTGACTTTTGGTAGGCGCGTTGAGCTTGCCGCCGCCTCTGCGCCAACGCGGCCTGCGTTGCGGACTCGAGCAAAAAACCCGCGGCTGCTCTACGAGAGCGTTGGTTGTCGTCAACGGTGAGGTGCTGCGCTGGGTGCAGTGGCCTGTCAAATACACAATGCAGAGAACTCGGCCTCTTAGAAAAAGAAAGTCGCGCGCGGATCAGGTGCAAAGGATAACATGGCGAGACGCGCAACCGACGCTGGCATCCTCGCGATGGAATGCTACTTTCCGCAGCGCTACGTCCCGCAGACGGCGCTCGAAGAGGCCGATGGATGCGCCGGGAAGTACACGGTCGGCCTCGGCCAGACGGCGCTTGCGTTCTTCGACGATCGCGAGGACATCGCTTCCGTGCTGCTCACCGCGTGCGCACGGCTGCTCGAGCGGTACGGCGTGCCGGCGTCGGCCATCGGCCGGCTCGAGGTTGGCACCGAGACGCTGCTCGACAAGTCCAAGTCCGTCAAGACGACGCTGATGGCGCAGCTCTTTGGCGCCGAGCACTCAGACGTCGAAGGCGTCTCGTCGACCAACGCCTGCTACGGCGGCACCGCCGCGCTGCTAAACTCCGTCGCGTGGGTCGAGTCGAGCGCGTGGGACGGCCGCTACGCCCTCGTCGTCTGCGGCGACATCGCCGTGTACGCGCCCGGGCCGGCGAGGCCGACGGGCGGAGGCGGCGCGGTCGCCATGCTGGTGGGGCCGGATGCGCCGCTCGTAATGGCCGGGCCTCGCGCGACGCACGCCTTCGAGGTGTACGACTTTTACAAGCCGCGCGGCGACACCGAGTACGCCACCGTCGACGGCAAGCTCTCGCAGGACGCGTACCTCGCGTCAGTGGACACGTGCTGGTCGCGGCTCAAGGTCTGATCCTGAGTCATTTCGCAACTTCAGCGCAGACGCCTTGCCTCACACACACACAGCTATCCATCTCGGTGTCGAACCGCCAGCCCGAGGGGACGCGCTCTTACCGTTAGAGACCCTCCTAGACACCCCCGGCTCGACACTCGCGAGAGAGACCTCGAGCACTGTCCGCGGCTCAATGCCTGGCAAATCCTGGCCAACCACCCGCTGTGCGCGTCTCTAGGCCAAGCTGGGAGCGCCGGCCGCCGCAGAGCAGCTCGGCCTCAACGGGTCGCCCGCTGACTTGCGCGCGTTCGACTACGTCTGCATGCACTCGCCATACAACAAGCTCGTCCAAAAGGGCTTCGCGCGCCTCCTCTACGGCACCGCTGCCCTCGGGCAGCCGTCGGCGACTTCTGTGTTGACGCTGTCGAGGCGCGCGGCCGTAGGCGACTTCGCCGACGACGCCACCGCGCCTCGCTTCGCCGGCGACGCGCAGCGCTGGGCGGGCGTGCCTCCTGCCAAGACGGTCGGCGACCGCGAGGCGGAGAAGTGCTTCGTGGGCCTCGCCAAGCCCGACTTCGAGGCAAAGTGCGCGCCATCGGACACGGCATCGCGGCAGGTCAGAGGCTGCTAGCTTCGAGATGCTTCCCAGAACCTCCGAGACGCCTCCGAGACACGTCCCAGACACCTCACAGGTACCTCTCAGAGACCTCCTCGACACCTCCTAAGACACGTCCTGGAAACGTCCCAGGCACGTCCCTTCATTGCCTCGTGGTAGGTTGGAAACTGCTACACCGCGGCGCTCTACATGAACCTGCTCTCGCTCGTCAGCGCGAAGGCCTCCTCGTTGATGGGCGCGGGAACCCCCCCCCCCCCCCCGTTCCCCCGTTCCCCTGCCGTTGCCCAGCTGCAACTCGGCTGCATCTCGGCCGCACCCGCGTGCAATCTCGCCGAGAGATCTCAGCCGTGCCTCTGGGCGCGTAGGTGCGCGACTGCTCCTCTTCTCGTACGGCTCGGGTGCGGTCGCCACCGCTTTCACGCTGATCGGCCGCGAGCCGTCCGGCGGCAGCGCGCTCGCTTTGCCGCCCGCTTCGCCGTTCACCCTCGAGCGCATCGCAACGACGGCGCAGCTGGCGGAGCGGCTCACTGCGCGCACGTGCTCCGACTTGCCCACCCTCACACGGGTGCGCGCTCGCCGCCGCCGCAACGCTGCGCGCACGCACGCACAAGACAGGCCGACGCCCGAGCCGTGTGGTGGTAGACGCCGTGTTAGATGGCACAACAACGGACCGGCGCGAGAGCGGAACTTGCGATGCCAGTGACTCCGTGTCGCGTGATCGAGATTTGCCACGTCTCAGGCGCTCGAGCTGCGCGAGGAGCGGTACGGCCAGGCGGGGTACGAGATCGCTGCCAACCGCATCACACACATCCCCTCCACACACTCTTTGTGTACCACTGCAGGCCCGTGAATAGGCCCAAGGTCGCCCGAGATGCCGTGCTTACTACCCGTGATCAACCGAGATCAACCGAGATTGTAGGCGGGGTACGAGCCGTCCGGAGACGTCGGCGCTCTGGCGCCGGGGACCTACTACCTCGCTGCGGTAGACGAGCTCCACCGCCGCACCTACTCGAGGAAGTGAGCCGTCGCTTCGCCACCCCCGGGGCTCCGAGCCACTCTCTAGGGCTGCTCCTCGGAGGAGGCTCCGCTCAAACAATGTTGAGCGGCGATGGCTAACAGGACTTGTTGGGAGGCGCGCTGGCCTTCACAGGAACGTCCAGTTTCCACGGAGAGGCTGGCAGAGCGGGCGAGTGTGGGGGCAGCCAGGTTTGCCCCGCTTCGCTGAAGAGCGGTCGATATGCGTGCGACCCGTCCGCGTGCTCTTAGACTTCTATTCTCGTGTCTCGTGTTCTAGCAGCATCTAGTATGCATACACCGAACATTGGACCACCGAAATCCGACCGCCGAAATTCGCACAATGTCTAGTCCGACGCCCGCCACATGACGCCCACCGCCGCCGCGTCGGTCGCGGCGCGCGCCGGCGCGGGACGCCGACCATCACCACCGACCGACGGCTCGCACGGCCGTGCGGTGAGCAAAAATTTGGGTCGCTGCGCGCCTGCCGGATGCTCTGCGACGTCTGGACGCTCGCCAGAAACGCCAGCAAGCTTGCCTTCCACCCCTGGGCCCGAGGGCGAACGGCAGTGGTCGGCAGCCTCTGGGACGCTCCCATCGGCTCCTCGACCTCATCGCCTGCGACGAGCCAGCATGGCTCGTCGCTCGACGGTAGGCTGCCCAGTATGCTCTTGGCATTCTGTACAGCCTCGCCAGGCTCTCTGTGACGGCCTGCAGGGCCGGCGCGGACCGCCTCGGGCGCGATGGCCCTCCTCAGTACCTACCTCTTCGATGCCTGTCGGCTCTCCAATCTCGTCGCCGGCGGCAGGCCCGCATGGCGCGCTGCTCGATGGCAGCCTGCTCAGTACGCCTTGGACAGTGACTTCTGCCTCGCTGCTCTTCCTGCAGCCGCCTCCGGGGCCGGCGCCGGCCGCCTCGCTTCGCCAGTGCTGTCTACGCCTGCGACACGCGTATCGGCTCGCCGCCCGCGTCGCCCGCGGCGGGCCCGCATGGCGCGCCGCTCGTCGGGAGCGTTCCCAGCAGGCTGTGCAGGGCAGTCTGCCTCACTCAGGGCGCCGCCGCCGCTGCGCGGGGCCGCCACCGGCGCGTTGCTGCCGTGAACACTGCCGCCGTGTACGTCACCATCGCCTCTCCCCGTCGCCGATCTCGCCGACGCCGCTCGCCGCTCGCCGCCGCCCTGCCCTGCCCCGCCCAGCCCTCGCACAAACAAACCAACACACACACACACACACACACACACACACACACACACACACACACACACACACACAAACACACACACACACACACACACACACACACACACACATACACACACACACACATACAGACACACAAAACACACCCTGCCCCAACCTCGAGCGCCCCGCGCCCTCCCGCCCAACGCCCTGCGCCTCACGCCTCGCGTCCCACGCCCGCCCCGCGCCCCGCGCCCCCTCACCTCGCGCCTCACGCCTCCCTCCCCACCCTCTCAGGCATTCCTCTCCTCCCTGCTGCTCGCCGACTCCTCCTTCCCCCGCATGTTCGACGACTACCCGTCCTTCAGCGACTCCTCCCCCCTTGGCGCCAACGTCTACTCCCTCGTTCTCCTTCTTCTTGATGGCAGTCGGCGAGTGCCCCGCCGCCGCCGCCGCCGCCGCGCCGCCGCCCGCCGCCGCCGCCGCCGCCGCCCGGCGGTCCCATGTACAGGGGACGCGCGTACCCACTGCCGTCCGTGTCTCCCAACGGAGGCATCGCGTTTCGAACCACAACGGACTGCGCGCTCCGCTTTTCGAACCACCAAAACTCGCTGCACCCAGGTGCAGGTGCAGGTGCAGGTGCAACAAGTTTGCGCCCGGCCCTCTAGCGCCGCGCGCTGGCCCCGGCTGCGTCCCCGCGCGGCCTGCCCGACGGCGTGGCGCCCGCCCTCCACCCACCTCCCCGCGCGGGGCCGCTCCGGGGCGACCCGGGCGCCCTCCGACCAAACTGCTCTGTTACTATCATATAACAGTACCGGGGGACCGTCGCCCTCGGGCGTACTGGCTTGATCCCAGCGGCACACGTCTACAACCCGGCGAGAGGGGGGCTCACGGGGAAGAGACCGAACGGCCGGCCGGATTACTCGGACGCCGAGGCCCCGCACGGGGAAGAGTCCGAACGCCCGGCCGGGCAACTAGGTCATTGAGGCCCCGCCCCTCTCCCGGAAGACGCGCGCCGGCCCGGGTGACTCGCTTGCGAGGTAGATCCCGTTCCAGCCAGAGGCCGCGCGTGACCACCACAGACTGTCTGGCGCGGGAGGGGAGATCTAAGCCCAACTCGCCGGGCACGCCGGCGAGGTGACGGTAGATCACCTCTTGAGGATCACCTCCGCCAGACGATCTCTCCCGCGGACGGGGACTGGTCTTAGGCCATTCCAACGGCCAGGCCGCTCGCTTAAGGCTGCTTGGCTAGACGTCGACGAGGAACCCCCCCCCCCCCCCCTCCCTTTGGACAGGCGTCCCAACCCCTGTCCGATCTTATGCACTCCTCTTTTACATAATCCTATCGATCGACGGGGTGTGTCACATCGTGTAGAGCGCTCACTTTCTCGAGACCACACACAACAGCCAGCCACGCGATGGTCGCCACCGCACACTACACAGCCTCACCCTACCTAGCTATCAGATCCTTACTGCCCACCCGCAGGACTACAGACCACGATAAAAAGGTGTTCTCAGTCTTCGTAGCTCTCACGGGACGTGATGTCCTCATAGTAGCGTCGGCGAGATGCCCCTGGTATGCCCACCCCCCTGAGTGGCCGCCGTTTTAATTGGCCATTTGGGGGGGCGTCGCCGCCGCCGCGTCGCTTGGTGGCACGGAGAGAGTGCACTCGTCTGTGTAGATCCGGCCGAGCGCAGTGAGTCTGCCGTACCGCTGACTCGTCAACTCCTTTTCTTTCGGCTGGCGAAACGTCTTGGGCGTCCATCGCGTGGCTCCCGTGATCGGGGTTTTCGGTATCTGTGGGTAGTCCATGTCGTTTGGCTGCTCGAAGGCAACGAGCCCGCCGACGCCGACCATTCCAGAGTGCGGGTAGGTCGCGCGGACCGAGTCCCGATACGTGATCGCAACGTCGTTGCCAGCCGTCTGGTTGTAGCACCAGTCCAGCAGCTCGGGGCCGGTGAGCATAAGCGGCCTGCCCTTGGGAGGGACGAATCGCTGTCGGACGTTGCGGAGGATCGAGTCGAGCATGCAGCGGGGGAGCGGGTGCGACGGCACGCTCGCGAGGATCTTCATCTGCTTCCGTTCGAAGTCGGCCCCCGAAATGTCACGGCCGATGGTCGCGCCCGCGTCACACATGTCGACTACGCTGGCAATCGGCTTGAGCAGCACGAGATCGGTGTCCAGGTAGACGCCGCCTTCGGCGGACAGGGCGCAGAAGCGGAAGAGATCGGCGCGAAACGCGGGGGCGAGCAGCAGCGGTACGCCTGCCCGGCCTCTCGCCCGCAGTGCTTGGTCACGTACTCGAACGCTGACTCGTCGTCGTGGTAGTTCACCACAAAGCCATCGAGGTGGACGGCAGCATTCATGGCCACGTTGGATGGGCGCTCCGCGCTGCCGCCAACTGCATGGTAGATACGGGGCACCCTCGTGGACCTCTCAGAGCAGTTGGGTGGCGACGAGAGCGGCAGGTTCAAGTATTCGGCGCAATTGCTGTCGCCAAAGTCTGGACGGGTGAACGGCGTCTGCACGAGCGCGCACGGCCCCACTTCCGCGGCCGCTCGTTTGGCTGGCGCGGCAACTGCAAAGACGTGGAAGAACATCGGCATGTATCGGCGGATCCGCCTGCCCACGGATCACGGGGAGAAGACGGGCCTCGTGCTTGCTCCTCCTTTCCGAGCGATCGAGTATGTTACGTTCGTTTCCCGTTCTTGGTCGACGTCCTCCGACTACGAGTATTTGCATACCGTTGAGCACTTGAGCACTTGATAGGGTCGCTTCCGCATGGTACGGGACCCTCGATCGTCTCGCCCTCCTTCACTGGTGTGTTCATTGATTGGGGGGGGGGGGTCATAACAAACACGGTACAGGATCGAGGTGCACGCTGCAGAAGCAGTGTCGTCCCCCCTCTCTCTCCCCGACGGCGATGGCGGTGTGACCGATCGAGCTACAAGAGGAACTTGTTCAGCAGGATCCGCACAGCCTTGTTTTCGAGAAGAAGAATACCTTATGGCGCTGCGCGCTGGTCTATGCACACAGACTTGTCGCCATTTTCCGCCCGTTTAGAAAGAAAGTTCTCCGCTCCTCGCTCCGCAGTGCAAACAAAAACAAACTGAAAATCTCTCTCTCGGCAGTGCAACGGCGGCGAGGTTTTATTGTCTCCATGCCATTCAACACGGGACTGCTAGTCCCAAACCTAGAGCCTGGCCGCCGATGAGCTGCTGGTACTGGTGCGGCAACGACTGGATCGCTCGGTGGTGGGGAGAAGTTGTGTTCAGAAGGCCATGTATGCTCCCTCTCATCGCCCAGGGCAGAGACGATCCAGCTGCCGTGACCATCGCAAGTCATGGCAACGCAGGAGCAGCGGGAACGTGCGGCTCAGATCCCATCCAAGGGCGGGTGATCTATATTGACCCGGAAGCCTTCTCCTTTAGCGTAAACGTCGCTAGCCCTCGCAACGTGCTGTACCTCGGCCCTCGCAACGTATCGGAGCTAGCCATTCTAGCAACGCGGATGCGCTCCCACTTGAATTTGCACGGCGCGCGCACTATCGCAGTGCTGGACTTTGCTGCGACCGTTGGAGGTTACTCAAAAATCGTGGGTCCAGATGCCCCACCGTTTACTCGAACAGCATCAATGCCATTGAATCTCGACTGGTCAGGGCTACTTGTGCGCAATCCTGTCGCTGCATCTGCATCGTTTCTCGCCTACGCGAGCTCCCACTGCGTCCGCGTAAGAGAGCAAGCCTACAACAAGCTCGTGGAGATGGCTGTGGCAGCTGGGACTGAGTCGTTTGAACTTGCGGTCCGGCGGGATCGCAACGGTCGGATCCGGCTAACAATATCACATTTTATTCATTAGTGACCTTTCAAATCTCCTCTGTAAAATCTTCAAATCTGACCCCTGAAGATTTTGCCCCTTGAACATCTTCCAATATCCTCTCCTGTAAAATCTGCCCCTCCCCCTGTAAAATCTGCCCCATGATGAGTTGCAGCCTCTCCAACGAACCTCTCTCCCCCCACAGATTGTACCCCGCCGCATAAAATCTGAAAAATCTTCAAATCTTCAAATCTGAATTTATTTTATTTTCTCGCCACACCTCACAGATTGTACAACTAAATGTGGCGCTAAATTGGAGATAAAACACACTAAATATGGGCTAAATATGGGCTAAATATGGGCTAAATATGGGCTAAATATGGGCTAAATACGTGCTAAATATGTGCTAAATATGTGCTAAATATGTATTAAATATGTGATAAATACGCGCTAAAGTCTCGCTAAAGTCGCGCTATATACGCACTCGAACACACACTAAATAGCGCACTAAACTATCACTAAAGTGCCACCACCCTCGCCCAGGGATCTACAATGCACCGCCTCGGTGTACAAAATGCGCCTGCGGGCGGACCTACGCGATAGCGGTCACGCCATAGCTCGCGCATAGGAGCAGGAAGCTAGGCAGGGGCCGCATCGCGATCGCTGAGCTGTAACAAGTTTGACCCAAAACAAGAACACAAGTTTGGCTCTACTAATATAGCGCGCGGATAAGGCGCGCGCGCCGCGGTGGCGGCGAAATATAATATTATCTCAGAGGAATATAGTGTGAATGCCCGGGAACAGGACCCTCACAGATCACACAAAAACACAACCACGGACGCAAGACGCACAAGCTCAGACAGTCGAGAAAGGGATAGACCGCAACGACAGAAGTCAGCGCTGGGTCCCAGGCATGCCCTCGCCTCCCTCGCCCGATGCTTCTGGCTCCGCCTTCCTCGACTGGGCGTCCAGTGCGGGCGTCGCGACATCGGCCGCATTTCTCGTCGAGCCGACTGCCACGGAGGGCTTCGGCGCTGTCGCCGGAGAACGGGTCAGTGTCGGCGACATTCTCGTTACCGTGCCTCGGGCCTCAGCGCTCGCCGTCTTCAGCCTGGAGGAGGAGATGCGCCAAACGACCACTTCGCTGGCGCAGTCACACGCGCTGGCGTACGCCGCGTGCCGCGTTGCGGCCGCGCCGCGCGGGCGGGAGCCGTGGGTTGCGCTTTGGCCAGCGACTCCCGAGGGGACGTGGGGCGTCGAGGGCGACTCCTGGCGGGCCTTCGACGGCGACGCGTTCCGAGAGCTGCGACGTCTGCACGAGGAGGGCGAGGCCGCAGCTCGGGCTGCCCACGAAAAGCTGCCGCCTGACATCTCCTGGGAGCGCTTCAAGCTGGGCGTCTCGTTCGTGGCTCTAGATGCGGAATACGGCCAGCGCGCGAGAGACGCGTGACCGGTTGATTGGGCGGGACACTCACCGTGTCCACTGTATTGGCCCCCAAATCTTTCCGGTCCCCGGGTGGATCGTGATTCCTCCCGAGGAACGATGGTAGGATCGTGACATCGCGCGCAGCCGATCTGGTCGTGAGCGGCGAGAGGCAGCCTGTGCTGCTGCCGGTGATCGACTTGTGCAACCACCGCAGGGGCGGCGAGCACAACTGCGCAATCGTCTTTGAGGACGACGCACAAACTACCCTTACTTCACCACGACACGCACGCACACCGGTCTACCTCACCTAACCCCGCCTCAGGACGACCACTTCGTGCTGCGATGCGAGCGGCCCATTCAGGTTTGGCGCGCACCGGCTCTTGCACATTGAAAGCCGTGGGGCGCATGCCTGCCGGGGTGATGTGGAGATACGAGGGTTGCCCCCCTTTGCCACACCACCGTGTGCGTATGGAGAATTACCGCACCTTACCTTACATTCAGGCCGGCGAGCCGCTGACCATCTCCTATGGGCCCGTTCGGTTTCTTGATCGTGTTTGACGTCGTCAAACACGACGTCAGACACTAGTGTTGAATGGCCGTAGGTCAAAGGAGAACGCGGAGCTGCTGTACGGGCGCGCCCTTGATCTGCGGGGCCGTGATGTAGAGCTGTGCGCCCACGCGTTGCAACAGTTCATCAGGTACGGTTTTGCGTTGCGGAGCAACCCGTCCGACGCGGCGCCCGCCTATCGTGCCGGTCTCCGCCGAATCCATCCGTCGACCCTGCCATGCACCCACTAGGCGTTGCTGCGCCTCCCTCTCGCGCCGGCGGCGGACCCGACGTTTGGCGTGCAGCGCGCCGCCCTGACCCCTCGCGGCATGCTCGACGAGGAGGCGGACGGCCCCTCTCCTCTCCTCTCCTCTTCTCCTCCCCTCCCCTCCCCTCCCCTCCCCTCCCCTCTCCTCCCCTCTCCTCTCCTCTCCTCTCCTCTCCTCTCGATGCGGACCACACCCCATACGGTGACATAAATCAAGTCTGACGAGACCTGGCATCGCGATGACCAAGTCTAGCGTTGGCGACTCTTGTGCTCTTGACGCCACACTCAGCACAGACATTCCGGCGGCCCCGGTGCTCGTCTGGACGCCACCGTGTCGCTTGAGAGCGCCGCGCTGCAACAGGACTGCTTCTGGCTGCCTCTCGGCTGGAGTTGCGATGGGCCGCGGTGGGCGCCGCTGCTCTTGATGATGCTCCGCCTCGCCGCCGCGAGCAGCACGGCGGAGCTCCTTCCTAGATGCGCAATGCAGATCCCTCGATTCCAGCAAGTACTTCAGAAGCGCACCCGATTGAATCCAAGCTGTATTGCTCACTTGCATTCGTAGCACTCGTACTCCCGCGCTGCTCCGAATACAGTGCCCTCACTTCCCTCTAGGAGCTCATCGCCGCGATGACGGCCGCGGCAGGCGGAGGCGGCGACGAGGAAGGGGAGGAGGCGGAGGCGGACGTGGACATCGACGAGGTGCCGGCGCTTGGTTGGTCGCTGCTTGCCGAGGCGTGCGACGCCGATCTGGCAGGCAGCGCGCCGCAAGGCGCGGATGGAGACGACACTGTGCCCTATTGGCCGCATGGCGCGGCGAGTGTGGCGAGCGCGGCACGGCGCGACCTCGTCCTAGCATACGCAGAGGTTGCGTGGAGGCGGCGCGACGCTGCTTGAAGAGAGAGAAGAGTCGTCCCGCTCCCGGGGGTTGCATCACATGTCCCAATGCCTACCAGTGCAGCCGAGACACGCGAGAGCCGAAAATAAATGAGACTCGACTTGCGGAGGAGGTGATCATCTCTCTGTGCACTCCAGGCCCCAAATGACGTGTGAGTGTTAGAGTTGTTGCAAAAAAATCGCGCAGAAGCCGCAGGCCAAATGTCGACCAAAGATAGAGTCGCGAGCCGATGGGGGTTTCAAACCGCCGGTTTCTTTTTAGCAATACCAAAACAAGTCTAACACGCTCACACGTCATTTGGGGCCTGGAGCCCTGTTCACGCGCGCGCGAGACGTGCAGACAGGGTTGCCAGGTGAGAGCGAATGGCGCGGTTCACGCCTCGCACAACACGAGAGAGAGAGATGCGCTCTGCATGGTGGGACATGTTTTTCGGCTTCTGTGAGTCAAACCACGCAAAAACCAAGCTTGTCAGGGATGGGTATGGGCATGTTTTGCGAGGATGGTGAGCTTTCTGGCCGTCAGATTCTGGCCGTCCGGTGTGAAAGGATTGTTGCTCGGCTGGTTTATCAAGTAAATAGGAGATACTATACAAAGTCAAAGAAAAGGGAAGCCGTAGGTTTGACCGATCGGCGTCTCAACCACGATAAAACAATCGTAAGGGAAAGAGCGGCGCCGGCAATTCCGCATACAAATGGGCGGGTCCGTGCACGGCTTCAAGAGGCCTCGCGACGAGTCGCCCGGTCAGAACAGCGGGCTGCGCGGCGAGTCTCGCTGGCGTGACGAGCCAAGACGGCGTGGCGAGCCGCGATGGCGCGACGAGCCGCGATGGCGCAATGAGCGCCCGCCGCCGCCGCCATGGTTGGCGCCTCAGCCGCCTCCGGGCGGGTCGTCGCCGCTGCCACCGTCGCCGAGGACAGGCGATCCGCCACAGTCGCCCTCACGCCGGCCAAATCCGGCAGAAAGGGACGGGCGCCGTTCTGGCGCTTCGCTCGCTCCGCTCGCGTTGCGCAGCTGGATCTGGCTGGCTACACACCTCGCGGCTTGCACATGAGCAGCGACAGCAGCGACCACAGCAATAGGCAGAAGAAGAAGAAACGGTCCCGGCACAAGCGCGCGGCGACAGAACTACCGCCCGCAGAACCGTCGCCCACACCACAGCCGGCGCCGTGGCGGTCACACAGTTCCAACTCGTCGACGGCGTGAACCGCTACCGTGCTGGACAACAGGAGGTCGACGGCACTATCATGCTACATAGGGCCGTCGGCGGCCACATGTACATGTGCAGCTTTGCCCAGCTGACCGACTACTCGCGCAAGACTTTCAGAATTGACCGGGAGATTCTCTTCATCTTCAAGACCGGGGTGCACACCAGCCGACAGCCGTCCAGCTGGCACTCAGCTCTCACCCCGTCACAGCTCTCAGTAGACATTGTTCGGTAGGAACGCGGTGCGAAAGCGCGACCGAAACAAAGAAACGCGGCGGCTGGCGCTGACCCGTCACCGTCACCGCCGCGATATTGCGCGATATAGCGCGATATAGCGCGATATTAGGCGATCATTCACGATATACAGAAGATTCCCTCTACGCTCTAGAGCAGGGATGCGCTGGGTCCTGGGTGCGCTTCTTAGCTCCCCGGCCCTTGGTTTTGAGGTTACTGACTGCACTCCAAGTGCTCCAAGTGCCAGAGTGCGGCCCCATGCTCCTAGCACCACCGCAGCCTCACGAAGAGCCGTACGCTCCTGCGAGAGCCTGCGGGCATGCACCCCTCCCACCTCCCAGATACACAACAGAGCTCCAAGTCCAACCCGCCCGTGCGCGGCACACACTCTGCCGACTAGCAGGTAGCAGCTGCCATGCAGCAGTTTTGGGTGTGACACGAGGGGAGACACTCGGTGGTCGCGTACGGACGATGCTGCGCGGAGAACACACAGGCCCGCAGGCGCACTGGCGCCGCAGTCACTTCTTTTTTGTTTGTTTCCCTTTGGGCTTGGGCCGCGCCTTGCGCGTTAGCACAAACTCGCCGAGCTTGTGGCCAACCATCGCCGCCGACACCTTGACCCGCTTGTATTCTCTGCCACTGTGTATGAGGAAGGTCCGCCCAACCATGCCGAGCGTGATGAGCGCGCGGCGCTCGCCGACGATCGGCTTGCCGTCATCCGGAGGCAGCGCGGCGGGCATGTTGTACCATGAGCGCACCGGCGGCGGCCGTAGTGCGCGCGCTGCGGCAAATGGCAGCACGTTGCGCGCCAGCCTCGAGAGGGGTGATGGCGTGAGGGCCAATCTGCACGCCACCAGCATTCTCGGCGGCTCAAAAAGATAACGCGAAACCGCCGAGAAGGAAAAAAAGAAAACCAGCAATAGCAGGGCGTGGGGCGGTTGAGCATCCCTCCGGGGGCCCCTCTGCGCCGGGGAGGCGTTGTTGGAGGCTAGGACGCAAGCGTTCGTCGCCCTTTTCAAACTCGGGGCCCACTCCGCTACGCTCCGACCCGAATTTGGATGGAGGGCCTGAAAAGTTTAAGGTGTTGCTGCGCAAAAAGGGTGATATTACTATATATAAATATAAGATATAATCGGCCGTCACCTCGTCACCCCGTCACCCGGGTGGGGGCGCGCGCGCGCGCTCGGATCTCAGAAAATCGGGCCGTCACCCGTCACTCGTCACCCGAAAATTTTTTCGATTCTCTCCTGTTGAGTATATGAGCGACCCAGCTCGAGGGTTGCTCTTGACTCTGGCCTTTTCGGGTCACGTAGCCACACCTCGCCTCCTCGGTGCGAGTGGCTGCCAGTTCGACTCTGGGGAGGATCGAACCATCAACATGGTACCTCCGGTGAGATCTCCCAGGTCGACGGCGGTCTGCGAAGATTTGAGTCCCTTCGTGTGTGAGCTACGAAAAAGATCGAAAATAGTGCCCAAGGTAACCCGGGGGAACTCGCGTCCCGGAACGCCTGCCCTACCTCGAAACACGGCGGTATCGGATATACAGCAGCAACCTCGTGCTGCGTCGTGGGGGCGTGTTGAGTATATGAGCGACCCAGCTCGAGGGTTGCTCTTGACTCTGGCCTTTTCGGGTCACGTAGCCACACCTCGCCTCCTCGGTGCGAGTGGCTGCCAGTTCGACTCTGGGGAGGATCGAACCATCAACATCTCCGTCTACTCGAGTACTCGCTATATGGCTGCAGCCGATCGTACGGCGTGCCACGACGTGCTCCAGACTGTCAGATTTTCTTTGCCCTCTCTGAAGGCGACATGGAGAGCGGCGGAGAGGAGTCTCAGCCGGCGGCCGTGGAGGAGGAGAGCACGACAGCGGCGAGTGCGACTGCTCCTCCGACACTCGTGGCGGGTGCAGCGTCTGCCGGCGCAACCCGTGCGCGCAGCGTCCGGGGTGCTTGGCAGCGGTCAACCACAGCGACAGTGTGAGTGCGGTGACCTCCTCACGGGCGAGCTCCAACTCGACATCCAAGGCCACCGAGTTGGAGCGCATCCGCATGCTTCGGGATGCGTGGGCTGCCAGGCACGGCGCGACGCCGTTCCCAGTCGTGAACGTGCTGCAGGGCAAGTCGATCCAGACCTTCTCCCTCATCATGGGTGGGACAGGCAAGGGCACGTGGGGGGAGGGGTACCCCTCCTTTCGTGGCGTTCTCACCTACTGCAACATGAAGGAGAGCGAGAGCCTCAGCGGCTCGGAGCGGCTGTACAAGTACGTCAACTCGATGGGCAGGGGCGACCTGACCAACATTGTGAAGAAGATGCCTGCGACGGAGTGGTTCTCGAGTATCGACAGCATCCCTGACGCGCACTACCCCTTTTCGAACGGCCTGCTGAACATGCTGACCGGCGAGCTCGTGCCCTACCAGCCGGACATGTTCGTGACGCGGGTGAGCGACCGGGATGCTCCGACGAAGGAGGTGTGGGAGGGCGTCCCTCAGACTCCGGCGTACCGCGAGATCAAGCGCATTCTGCGCCAGATCCTCCCGGAGCGCGCGCTGGAGGAGGAGGTGATGTGGAGGCTCTCCGTGTACCTCTTCGAGAGGAGCAAGGTGAACTTGAAGCACCACCTCTGCGCCTGGGGGCACGCCGACAACGGCAAGACGACGGTGGGCACGCTGATGCGGCACGGTTTCGAGCTGGGTGTGTGGGTGCATGCTCTCGAGCCGAAGCACTTGCAGATTGCCGGGAAGAACCCCGACGCCCCGTGCCCGTGGCTGTGCAACCTGGCCGGCGTGCGCCTAGCGCTCGTGGAGGAGGCGAATGCCGAGAAGGGAGCTCCAAGCGCCTCTTCTCAAGAAGCTGGCGGGCGGCGCGCTCTGCACGGCGCGGTTCTTGAACGAGAACGACGGCGTGCCAACGGTTCCGACGGCGGCGCTCTTCTTCATGATGAACTCCCCAGTGCAGGTCGTTCCGCGCGCAGAGTCGCGGGCCCAGAAGGTCGTCCGCCAGTTTCACCTGCCCTCCTCCTTCATCCACGCCGCGAAGAGGCACGACATTCTGTCTGGCCTGAGGCAGTGCCCAATCGAGATGGAGAAGGACTTGCTCTTTGTTCGCGACGAGGGCGTGCAACAGCTGCAGACGGGGCCCGACTCCCTGGCGTACCGGCACGCCGTGATGTTCTTCGTCACAGAGCACTACAAGAAGTTCAAGGCCCTGCAGTCGCTGACACACACTCTCACCGTGGCCAACAACGGCGGGGGCACTCTCTTTGAGAAGTACAAGGCGCTGGACGAGGAGGAGAAGCGCTCCTTCGACTGGAAGACGGTGACGGGGGGGCTGGCCTCTTCGTTCGAGGAGGCCGACGGGCTCATAGGGCCATGCGACCGGCCTCGCCGCTCCAGGTACGACGAAGGTGTGGAGACAGACTCGCAGATGGACCTCACCGAGCTCATGGACAAACTCTTCTTCATCAGCGGTGACCAGAACGAGTCCCTCTCCTGCCAGGACATGTGGGCGCTTGTGAAGAAGAATGACTGGACGCGAGACCAGTACGCCAACCTGGCGTACGCCGTCTTCACGTCCTTGATGCGCAACTGGGCGGAGGCGTCCGAGGGAAAGCTGAAAAAGGTGAAGACGAAGATCGGCATCGTGTACAGGGGCATCGCACTGAGCATCTCGCGAACAGAGGCGGAGAACATTGGCCTCCCCATCGAAGGCCCGGGTGCGCCGTTTCCGGACCCGCCGCCACCCGATTCGCCACCGCCGGGATCCCCACCGCCGCGTCGCGCTTCTTCCTCGTCCATGGCGCACGAGTCCCCCCCATCGCGGCGTTCGTCCAAGCGGAGCGCCGTCTCGTCCCCGGAGAAGAGTGGGGATGTGTGAACAGGGGGGGTGTGAACAGGGGGGGTGTGCACTGTCTGTGGCGAGAGCTTCGCGAGGCGAGCCGGTCTCGAGTTCCATGCGCTCTCATGTGGGCAGGTCGCAGCGCGCCCGGATGTCTGGAGCTTCACGGAGCTCGCGTGCTCGAGTGGGCAAGGCGGCGCCAAGCGCACTCGCAGGGACTTTGAGTGCTCGCAATTCCACGTGTCCCCGAGCCCACTGGAGCTTGCGGCCACAAACTACCTGCTATTCAGCCCCGACGGCGACGTCATGTCCGCGATGAGAGGGGACGGCGACCGCGAACTCGCTCGGTGTGACTGCCTGGAGGCGACCGCGCGGGCTGCGGATGCTTTCTCCATCGGGGCTGCTTGGATGCAGCACAACGGTACGCTAACGGAAATGTTGATTTGCACGTACCATTCTGTGAGGCGCTGAGTATAGAAGGGGTCAGGAAGGGTGCCCTCTGGTAGGGCTTTTGATGCGGCGGGCGTAACTTAGAGATTTCCAATGCATGTTCAAAGGCGGCGGGCCTTTTCCTCGGTATTGCCGAAGGCGTAGGAGTGGCCAACGGAGGCGGGCGTGCCGCCGCTCGAGGCACTGCCAGCGCCCGTCGAGAAGGTCTTGAGGAGAGGCGTCCAGAGATTGATTTCGTTCACCGCATCAGCACCGGGGTCTAGATTTGGAGCGCTCGCCGAAGAGGAGTACGACAAAATAGCGCCCGTGATTGCCTGCACGCTGCCCGCACTCACGGACCCGAAAGAAAGAGAGGGGAGCTCGCGGGAGAGCCCGACCCAACAAGTGTGTGCGCGGCCAGCGCGGACCCGCGGCGCGCTGTGTGGGGAGGCCATCGGATACCGATGCGATAGCGGCACAGCATGGCTTGGGCGGGTGTTGGGGCTCGACGTGCAGCGCACTTTTGGGCACTCTTTGGGCACCAGGCAGCCGTGGCGAGGGGCTGTCACACCTGTCACACCTGACGCCCGTTGTGGGGCAGCCTCAAAAAGCCGCCGTCGGGGAAAAGCTAACGGAGTAGGGCGCGGCCACGTTGTGCCTCTGTAGTCGGCAGAGCCCCGGAGGGATGCTCAACCGCTCCACGCCACGCCGGGCGTGCGGCGGTCCTACACACCTACTCCCAGCTCCGCTGAGCGGGCGCGTTATTTGTTTGGCTGCACGCGACACTCCTCGACACCAAGCCCCCCGCCGGCACAAACACACACTTGTAACACACGAAAGGCGCGAAACTCGAAGCGCGCGAAGGGAGTTGTTTTTAGCGGACGAGGTCTCCTCGCAGCAGAGGCTAGCAACCTGGAGAGAGGGATAGTATATGGTTGTCACGCTTGCGTGTGCCTCGTTGTCACCGCTCGAGCCACGAGTCCAGCTCAATAAAGTCGCCCGCGTCACGCAGCCGCCGCGTTCCCGTGCCGCTTGCGGGCACGGTGTGCTCACGCAAGCAGTCCTCATCCAGGCGAAGCAGCTTGCGGACAGCATTTTTCAGGCGAGGCTCCTCCTCAAACAAGGCTATCAGGCCTGCGCCGTGTCCGTACTGGTCGCTCGACGTCGCTTGGTGCTGGCCCGCGCTCTTATCGAGTTTGTCATATGTAGCAAGGCGCTTCGGGCAGCCGTGAAGGGCGCACATTCGGTCCCAGTCCGAGCCGATGGACTCCAGTCGCCCGATGAAATCAGGTCTGTGCCAGCTCCTCTCGCCAAGGATGTTGGCGAACATGAGAGCGACGTGTTTGAAGTTCGGGTTCCAGTGGGATCCGTGAGACAGACTCAGGTCGAGAATGTCGCTCATCACCGCCTTTGCGAGCGTCTTGGTGCCCTCGCCGACGAACAGGCTGCAGTCGTACCGGCACTGCCACCCGAGGGGGGGGGGGAACCCGGGTACGGAAATTGGCTGCGGCCACCCAGGATGGGGTGTGGGTAGCGCGCCCTCTTGAGTAGGGGCGTTGCAGCACTGCTTGTATGTGCGCATCGTCGCCTCGCGATAGCCCGAGACAAAGTGCGAGAAAGGATCTCGCACGAAGGAGAATTCAAAAGCCTTTTCCATGTTGTCCACGTTGAACTTCTTGCTTACCGCTGTGCAGTTCTCCATGCTCGCTCGCATGTTGCCGCGGAAAAAATTGTTGCCACCCTTCCAGACGTTGCGGTACGCCATCTTCTCCTCGCACACATATCGCTCATGCACAATCGTGAAAAACCACCTGCCTCCACGGGCCATTGCTTCACCCGGCGCAAGGGGCGGCAGCCCCGCCTCGTAACGCGCATCGGCCACGATCTGATCAGCGAGGTACGCCTGATCGGCATCCGTGCCGTTGTAGAAGAGAGTGCACAAGCTGAGGTTAGCAATGTCGATGCCGGAAAGCGAGGAGTGCATGCTCTCGAAGCCCCAGTGAATGGGCGCGGCAACCGCAAAGACGTGGAAGAGGGTCGCCATGTGTGTCTTTACGGTAAAGGAGCCGGTAGCACTCCTCCCGCCCGAAGAGCGACGGGTCGTCCCTATCCAACGGCGACGTGCACTCAGGAGCTTCCTTGCGACGCGACTCCTGCGTTCTTTTTCCTGCGTTCTTTTTCCTGCGTTCTTTTTCCTGCGTTCTTTTTGAGCTAGACTTCGTTGTATGTGCTCGCCGTCGCATCTGCCGACCCATCCGTGAGGTGGGTGCGGAGGCGTGAGGGGAAATCTTGCCCTGTGGCACAATTCGCAGCGCGGCAAGTCCGGGAACTTCACCGCGTCATATCGGGCGGGAGTGGCGGGGTGTGGCGAGTGTTTAGAGTGCGAAGGTTCCCTCCCCGGCCCCCCGCGGCGCCCCGCGCGTCTTTTTTCCCGATCGCGGTCCGCGATATACCCGCGATATCTCTCCACCCGGCACCGGTGGCAGCGCAGGATGAGGCGGCAGCAGTGGAGGGTTGGGGCGCATTTGAAGGCGCTGGCCCCGACGCGCCATTAACTGGGTCGGGGTGGTCACCCCTCTGGTTTCAGTCAAGCGGGAAGAGTCTGTGCAAGGGGGGCGGATGGGGCTGGCTGCGTCACCTTGGAGCATGAAAGGTTCCTACAGGAAGGCTACTCGAGTACGCAGCACCTTGGCTTGGCCCCCGAGCGGGGAGGCGGTCGACGACGCGCAGCATGGCGGCGAGACCAACGAGAGCACACGGGTCAGAGAGTGCCACTATGGCACACCCTCTCCACACTCCCGAGCTCACTGCCACACACTGGCATCAGCAGCCAGCACACCCGCCCGTGCGAGGCAGCGACCGCGCCCCTGCGGCCTGGCCCTTTGGTGGCGCCTGGGAGCTGAGTGCTGGGTGGAGGCCCTGCGCAGTGCCGCGTGCGCGCGACCTAGGGGCGAGGGTCTTATGCGTTATACGTTAATCTTTCCAAAAAAAGTGTTGGGCTCTGTGGCGTGTGTGGGGGGGGGGGGGGGGAGAGAGATAATTCAGAGATTCAGACACAGCTGTGGCTGACAGCTGCGGCTCAACATACCTGTACCTTAGCTAAATAGAGGACGGTCCATAGTCGGGAAGGCCCTTCAAGGGCCATCCCGAAGTCAGATCACGCACACATGCACACACGCAGCACAGTCTGCTTCACCGCCCTTGCCCAGGTCGCGAGCTATCCCGCTCTGTGAGGCGTGGTTTCTCAGTCCTCGTAGTCCTCACGGGAAGAGATGGTCTCATAGTAGCCGACCGGCAGCAGCCCATTTGATTGGAGCCACCAGATGCTGGCGTACGACAGCGACAGCGCCTTGCGCAGCGCCAGCACACTTGTGCTGCTGAGCAGTGAGCCGCCACGCGCAGTACTGTGAGTTTGAGGCGGCTTCAACGACGGCCTTCCCTGGTACTGTTTCGTGAGTCCAAGAAGGTCGACCAATCGAGCCCAGTCCTCGCCAAACGCCTCCACACGTCCTACGAACGCAATGCGACTTGCGGAAGCCATTGAGCCGTCCCCTTCAAAGAGGTAGCGTGCAAGCGTGGCGCGAGCGTGGCCGAGGTTCATGATCAGCTCGGCCAAACCGCCAGCCGCGTGAGCGGCCGCAACCGCTTCGGCAAACCCGCTGCCATGAAAGCTGGTAGACATGTTCATTTTGAGCGTGTGTTGCATGTAGTTTCTCATGTAATCCCATTCTCTCGCCTCCGCCTGCATCTGGTCACCCCATGCATCAGCCCTCGGTTTGGTTCGCAAGAAGTTCCACGAGGAGATCACCCGCGTGATCGGGTCTCGCACCCAGAGGACCACCTTGAAGGCCATCGTGATCCCTGGATGAACACCCTCTTGAAAGCCACCGATGGTGCACGCGTTGGGGCTCATCGGCGCACTCCACTGACTAAACCAATTCGTCGATCCCTTCTTCCCCGTCCGGGGGGAGCTTTCGCCTGGCTCGAGGCCGTGCAGCTCGACGAGCTGGTTGATCATCCCAGCATCTTGAAACTTACGGAACGCTTTGATTCCCGACAGGCCGCCGGCCTTGTTCACGTGGACGTAGCAGATGTTGATCTCCTCGTTGGGTTGCGCGGGCGGGCGCAGCAGCTGCAAGCGCGGAAGAGGCACCGCTGGGTCGTTTTTCATCCAGCCGCTGATCGGTGGCATAGGGGACTGGGCCTGCTTGACGAGCTTCACCAGTTGCGGCGTCGTAGTGCAGTTGGGACCGAGGCCGTTCAGCATGCACCAGCTCTGTTGCTCCGAGTGCGAGATGCTGGGCGAGATGCCCGTGGTAATGTGCCGACCCCCCTGAGTGGAGGCCGTTTTGGCCATTTGGGGGGGCGTCGCCGCCGCGTCGCTCGGTGGCACGGAGAGAGTGCACTCGTCTGTATAGATGTAGTCCATGTCGTTTGGCTGCTCGAAGGCAACGAGCCCACCGACGCCGACCATTCCAGAGTGCGGGTAGGTCGCGCGGACCGAGTCCCGATACGTGATCGCAACGTCGTTGCCAGCCGTCTGGTTGTAGCACCAGTCCAGCAGCTCTGGACCGGTGAGCATAAGCGGCCTGCCCTTGGGAGGGACGAATCGCTGTCGGACGTTGCGGAGGATCGAGTCGAGCATGCAGCGGGGGAGCGGGTGCGACGGCACGCTCGCGAGGATCATCTGCTTCCGTTCGTCGGCCCCCGAAATGTCACGGCCGATGGTCGCGCCCGCATCACACATGTCGACTACGCTGGCAATCGGCTTGAGCAGCACGAGATCGGTATCCAGGTAGACGCCGCCTTCGGCGGACAGGGCGCAGAAGCGGAAGAGATCGGCGCGAAACGCGGGGGCGAGCAGGCAGCGGTACGCCTGCCCGGCCTCTCGCCCGCAGTGCTTGGTCACGTACTCGAACGCCGACTCGTCGTCGTGATAGTTCACCACAAAGCCATCGAGGTGAACGGCAGCATTCATGGCCACGTTGGATGGGCGCTCCGCGCTGCCGCCAACTGCATGGTAGATACGGGGCACTCTCGTGGACCCCTCAGAGCAGTTGGGTGGCGACGAGAGCGGCAGGTTCAAGTATTCGGCGCAATTGCTGTCGCCGAAGTCTGGGCGGGTGAACGGCGTCTGCACGAGCGCGCACGGCCCCACTTCCGCGGCCGCTCGTTTGGCGGGTGCGGCAACCGCAAAGACGTGGAAGAGGGTCGTCATGCACGCGGAGCCGCCGGGTCTGTAGAGACGGGCCTCCTCGTGCCTCGTGCCCCTTGCTACTAAGTCCTTGCGGCTTGCGTCACGCAGCCCGTGCAGGCTTGACCCCGTTGGGCCACGGTGACTAGGGAAGGGGAAGCAGAGTTCAGCAACGTATTCACGGGCGTCTCAGCAATTGGCCGGTCGACAAATTTTACCGCCGACGGTCAAATATTGGAAGTTCGTTCTTTGCTCGCCAAAAACGGCGAAGCGAGTCCGTCCGTCCGGGCGTGGCGTCGTGTCGGGGCGTGCCCCTCCTTAGCACCGCAGAGGGGGGGTTGTGTGAGTCCAAGCATTGCCACCACGGCTAGGCATCCTGATCCTCGTACGCCTGAAGACTTCTCCGACCGACGGTTCGCCGCCCTATTTCGCAACTTGAATTGTCGCTCGATTCTCTGACGCAAGCTTTGTATATATCTATTTTTGTAGTTTGGTTTGTAGTTACCGGAACCGCTCTATCTTACTTAGCATTCAGGAGGGAAGCGGACATTTTTACGACAGAGCAAATCGATGTCTCTATGAACGAGACCATGTGAGGCCGAGATGATGATGAAACACTGTATCACTGCAGAAGGATGTGCTGAAGCTGACTGCTCAGTCAGCTGTGCTAGTGCCACACACCCCAGGCACGTGGCGCTCTGGGGGCGGGCGAACTCTCGCCGAGGCGGGCGAGGGTACGATAGCCGTGCGCGGCGCGTGCGACAGCGACTAAGGCCCGCGAGGCATTCGCTCTCTATCTATTCCGGGGGGGGATGCGCACATTGTACGGTCCATGTGTCAGCTGCAGGGGACAACCCTGCGCCCAGTGACGCGCGGCGAGCTGGCGGCCGCTGGGCGGCGAACGCCCGCGCATGGGTGGGGCATGCGGCTCTGGCGACCGGAGCCGCGTTCGCCCTCGCTAGGCCGCCGCCTCCTCAGTGGCCGGCGGCGAGGCGCCCCTCCTCGACCAGCAGCTGCTGCCCGATGGCGCACGTGACTGCCGCGATGTTGAAGACGTGCATCCCGCCTTTGGTGGTGCCGCGCAGGTAGGCGCCCTTCCTCGGCATCGCCGCACCGTCAACGGGGAACTCGTCGTACTTCTTCAGCTCGACGCAGCGCTCCGCCGAGTAGTGCCCGTCGAGCATCGCGCGCACGTCGCGCGCCTTGAGGTGGTCGGCGCTGCGGCGGGTCGAGTCGGCGTACTCGTCGAGGATCTCGGGCAGCTTCTTGAGGTCCACGAACTTGGGGTTGCACTTGGTCAGGATCTCGCGGTCGTCGACGACCGCCCCCTGCAGCGTGTCCACCAGCTCGGCGAGGCAGTCCCAGTCCTCGGCGCCCTCGAGGAAGCAGCACCGCTGGCGGAGCTTGCCGCCGAGCCTGCCCGAGGCGCGGCTGCCGTCGGCCTGGACGATCTCGTTGACGACGCCGCGGGAGAGCAGCCCGGCCAGCGTGGCGACGCACCGCGCCAGCTGGGCGGGCGCGCGGACCGCGC